TAATCTTCTAGTAGCTGTGCGTGAAAATAGCCAGCGTTAATCTTGCAGAGACGGGGAACTTGAGCACAGAGTTCTTTGGCGTGAGTGAGCAGGAGTAAGTATTCCGTTGCTTTTATGGACTCATTATCCATGGGCTTCTCCCTTGACGGGACGTCCCCCCGATTGCTTGCGAGCTTCTCCTGCTGTCTGTACGGTAATTTCTGTACAGCGCGACAGAGAGTCGAGTGGTTATGACGCAATCGTTAGCCTATTTTTACAAAAACTGTTTCTACGGGGCCATAATGTAACATAGAAGGTAATGGAGCCCTTTATACATTGTCGTGTTTCTTTAGAAATAAATAATGGACAAATGGAGTCTTTAAACGCCTCAGATGTAAAGTTATTCGCTGTCAAAGTGACGCCAAAATGAATGGGAGTCAATGGAAATGCTAACGCAAGTGAAGTTCTGCTACAACATGGCGGCACCCGGCCGGCTTCAACTTCCGGTCGATGGATTACCCCCTTGCGTAACACAGAAAAGACATTCGTTGACTCGGTTAACTTGATAGTCAGCAAGAGCGCACTCGCCACCAAGTGGACAGGGGTGAGAATTACAGTTACGTTGCAAAACATCAGCCTCAGCGTAATCTGTCAAAATGACAGACGGCTTTCAGATTTCTCCATCACTGCTTCAAAAATTTCGTCAATGATGTCAAAAATGATGGAAGATTTTCAGTTAACGCGACCTCAGGTGTGAAGTTTACAGCACCTTTGTTGCAGTAAACTTGCACGATGTTCTTGAATGAATTGAACGCCAGTCTGTTATTGTAGGGACATCTACTTTGCATTTTTACTCCCATAAACATGATGATGAAAACGAATTGCAATTGGTTGATTTACATGTCAGTCAGACGCGGCCTCTGGGCGATCCTTTTGGCCAATGAAAGCTGTGAAGGAGTCCAGACCTTCTGCATTCATTACCATCTGTGTAAGGTTGAAAGACTGACTTTTACTCATCCCCATGCTCTTTCAAACCTGTATGATTTGTTTTTGTTCTGTGGAACACAAAAGGAGATTTTCTTTTCCATACAATGTAAGTGAATGAGGGCAGATGATGTCAAGCTCCAAAACTGATAAAAAGCACCACAGAGATAGTCCAGACAACTGCACTAACCTACAAGGCGACTGAATTAGGAGACATTAATTCATGGCGTTTGGTGTCAAACATGTCTTGACAAGCCATATTTGAATATGATTTGAATTACCACATTATGTGGGCAATTTTTTTTTTTAAATCAGCAAATTTCACACAGACCTATCGTATGACTTCAGAACAATATAGTGAAAAAGCTGTACAGATCACTATTATGGTGCTTTTAGTCATTTTTGGAGCTTTTTTTGGAGGACTTTTGAGCCGAAAATCTCATTTGTGTACTCAGTGTGAGTAAATGACGACAGAATCTTGAGCTCCGGGGGAAAATCCCTGTAATAAATGTACTGCAAGTCACTTTGGATAAAACTGTGAGCCAGATGACTAATGAGTAATCAGTAAAAAATTGGATACAGAGAAACCCTTTGAAAACACACACACACACACACACACAGGTGAGTTATGATCGCACAGTGACTGATTGCATGACTGTGTCTGAATTCAGTCATGTTTCGTTTGTCTGGTAGTCTTGAGCAGGTTTGGTGCTCTGCGGTATATAACACACACACAAGCTTTTCTGATGAGCACCCCAACCCACTCACTCTCTCTCTCTCTCTCTCTCTCTCTCTCAAACCAATGCATGAACCCACGCTTCCCACCGACAGGCGCGTGTTCCTGTCTGCTTCAGAGAGCCGTGACTTCTGAGGTAAACAACAAAGAAAGAAGACCTGCTGAATAAACACACCGCCTCAGACAGTCTGAGGAAAGAGGATGAGTTCAATTTGAGCTAGTCTTTTCTAACGCTGTGAGCAGGGCACGATGGACAGACTAGCAGAGAGTGACCGTCCTCGGCTTGTTTTGAGTCAGTGGTTCAGTTAGTGACTGAGAAATCTGATGCGATTCAGTGAGAAAGTACGTTCAGACCAATAACTCCTTTATTTAATTCTCAGGCATATCACAATGGTGTAATTATGATGCATATTAAACAGTTTTCAACTCAATCCAAACGAGCTTTGTTATAATAAAAGCTAAATAAAAATATATATATACAAAATTGGGAGTAAAACTATAAGACTCCTGATTATTTCTGGAATAAGTTCCTGATTATTTCCTGAATAAGTTCCTGAATAAGTTCCTGATTATTTCTACATGTTTTTTTTTTTCTATCCAAAGAGCACCTCAAACTTATTCATTTGAGTCCAGGAAGCGCTTCTCTATAGACATTTGTTCAAGACGGGTGTCATGTTGGAACCATAATCACCATTTATATATACACTACCATTAAAAAGTTTGGGTCAGTAAGATTTTTTATTTTTTTTATTAAGATTTTGATACTTTTATTCAGCAAGGATGCATTAATAAGCAAAACTGACATTTAGAATATTACAAAAGTTTTTGATTTCAAATTAAATCTCTTTCAATTAATTAAAGAAACAAATGTATGTTTCCACAAAAATTATGAAGCAGCACAACTGTTTTCAACATTGATAATAATCAGAAATGTTTCTTGAGCAGCAAATCAGCATATTAGAATGATTTCTGAAGGATCATGTGATTTTTAAATTGTAATAATATTTCACTATATTACTGTTTTGACTGTATTTTTGATCAAATAAATGCAGTCACGGTGAGCAGAAGAGACTTCTTTCAGAAACAATGACACTAGTTTTACTCCCAAAAATGCATGTTTTAATATTTAATTTGAGAAAATATATGTGAAATATATTTTTAAACAGTGAGAAATACACGTCTCAGAATATCAGTCTTTTTGAGAGATTCTGTAATTTGTGAACTAAAAAAAAAAGTTATCTGGCTCTTAAATGTCATTTTAGCAGCCATCGGCTCACTTCTCATTTTGTTTTTGTGTTTTATTCTGGATTATTCTGGTTTTTGTTGTGGTTTTCAATGTTTCTCTTTACTCACATACAACTCGCAAGCTTAAAACACAGAAAATTATACAGGGACTGTATTTCCTGCGGTTCGTGCAGGAAACGTTGGTGAGAAAAGACCGATTACTGTTTTGTACCAGACATTCAAATTGGAAAAATAGCCCTGACATTATCTAACAACATTCGCCTAATCATCATATCGATGCGCATGAACAAAACAGCAGCGTTATATAGTGCGTCCCTCACTGCGATGGAGTAATACACACTAATGGTGGACCAACAAGATCGACCTGTCGCTTATCAGACAGAAAACAATGTAGTAATGGCGTATTAGAGCAAAGTAAGCAGCAGAGAAGATGAAGAGAGACAGCGCTGTGAAATGAAAGCGATTGAATCGGGGGATGAGGAGGGGAGTGAGTTGAGTGGGTGAGAGATGGAGAGAGTAAAAGAGAGAGAGATGAGACACACACCAGGGGCTTTGCCCAGACTAGTTTCAGTGCACTAATGAATGGCTAATGAAAAGAGAGAACGCTCCTCTTATACAGGAGGGAACGAGAGCTGGATATCAGTATGTGTCTCTGTATCAAACCCAGACAACATCGAGCCCTCTCACACACTCTGGGTGTGTTTGGAATGGCATACACTCGTGAAAATGTACCACGGTAAACTCGGTTTCTGCCAAAATGCCAGTGTTACACACTACAGCTGTTGTTACCGCAGTCAAACTAGGCTACCGTTCACACGTTTGGGGTCGGTTAGATTGTCTCTTACGCTCATCAAGCTGCATTCATTTAATCTAAAATACAAAAAAACCTACATTTGTGAAATGTTATTATGTTTTATTATAATACATTTAAAAGTGTCATTTATTCCTGTCAAGGCCAAGCTGAATTTTCAGCAGCCATTACCGGTACTCCATTATTATCATGTTGTGTGGCTTCATATTTTGAGCAAAAAGTGCAGCATTGTTTTTCAGGGTTCTTTGATGAACATAATGTTCAAGGGAACAGCATTTATATAAAATTATACTGTCACTTTGATCAATTCGATGAAACCTTGCTGAATAAAAAAAGTATTCATTTCTTTAAAGAAATGTTACTGACCTCAAAGCTTTTATTCGTATCCTGCAGAGCAGCGACCAGACATGAAACGCAGTAAACACTTGACAGTGTGATGAATGAACTGGAAGAATTCAGCAATATTTTAACATCTTTTTGAGACTAATTAGGAAATATTTTATTAAAAAATGTATGTCCTCAGAAAGAATTAAAACTGAAAGATTTACTTCAACAAATCCATTATTAACCAACAGAAACCTGGATGTGGAAAAGTTTAATTTTAAAATATATATAAATACATAGATTAATTAAAAGATAACATTAATATATATATATATAGAAAGAATCAATTAAAATGTTAATTTAATGTATTAAAACATTCATATAATAATAAACAATTAACAGTAATATTATATGAATACAAAGGGTGATAAATAAAAAATAGTGTCCATAATTTAATGTTTTGTGCCTCAAGAATAGTCATTTTTAGTGCATCACTTCAAACTGTCAACAATGATGCGTTCTACTATATGACTGTCTAATTTGCATAATGCATACATTTGTTCAAATAGTAGATAGTATTTAGTATGTAGTGAGTATGCAGTAATAATCTTTCCCTGTCTCTCTCTTTGTGCTGCTCAACAAAAGTTTTCATTCTATGAACAGCGAGAGGAATCGAGGGATACTAGCAAACGGTGCATAATTAATGCATCTAATAAATGGCTCAGAAAGACAGAGATGTGTGAGTGTGTGTGTGTGGGAGAGGAGAGAAAGAGGAGCAGAAATGGGTAACACTATATCCAAATGTGAAAACATCCAGCGAGTCTGCTGTGTTTCCAATGGAGTGAGCAGAGGAGAGAAAATTGGATTTGCATTCCAGAGGGAAAAGCAGGAGTGTGTGTTATTTCCTGGAGTGTGTCCTACCTGTCTTTGTGCCGACGTTGCCATTTGAATCTGGCAGAACTTCACAGCTTGATCCAGCGCTACATCCTCATCCACCTTCAGAAACACAGAAATATGAGAAATAACATGAACATTATCATTCATCACAGCCACGAGGTTTGCAATGTTGTCTCGTGTCATGTTAACCATCATTCGCCTTTTACAAACCATTTACACTTTAGTTGAACTCGGAAAAATAACTTAACCTAGACATTTGATACATTTCTGTCATTTGATTATAGTCAGTGTTAACTTTGCACTTTCTTTGTTGTTCAGGAATGTCCAAAAGAATAGTTTATAGGGCTGGGAAAAAAAATATCGATTTCTCGATATTAATCGATTCTCATTTTTACGAACCGATAACGATTCTTAAATCTCAAGAATCGATTAGTCATCCTGTTTTCATTTGATGAATGAATGGAACATTGTAGCGCGCATCCCATCCAATAAATCGCAATAATCTTTGTGCTTTATTACTATTGATACTAAATAAAGTCTCAGATTTCAAATTACGTCCATTTTCTTACGAAATTCAAAAACATAAATACCGTTTTGGCGCTGTGGCGTGAGATCGCTCTGGCTCAGCTCAGCTCAAGAGAAGCAGCAGAGCGGAGCGCACATGATCTCCTCTTCTGCCGTAATAATACCAGCTACAGCGCGAAATAAACATGAATGAACGTCTGAAAGTGTGTTAAAAGATAGAGTACAACTTCTCGAAATCCGTATCATGTCACATGGAATCGCTCAATCAGTGTTTCAACCGTGGAAAGACGTCAGTAAAACAACTTGTAAATGTCATGTAACGTCACATTTACCTCAGAAAAAACATATGTGACCATAAACTCGTTAGTCAGCTAGAAAAATTAACTCTAAAGAGGAGCATTTTGCTAAATTATGCATCATTTTTAATGTTCTTCGATATTTAATGCATGTTTGAATAAATCTGGCAAGTTTTTATGACAGCCACCATTTAAATGTTTATATTTCATATAACTTTATTATTATAAAAATAAATAAAAGTGTAATTTAAGTGTTTGTATAGCTACAAATCAGTTCATTTTTACCTTCAATATTATAGTAGGCTAATGAAGCCTAGTAGGCTACAACTGACTCCCATAGTTTACAGCATTAGTTAAGAGATCTGTTTTCCTTGTGAAAATTTGCCATGTATTGTACCTGATATCCAAAATAATCAATATTGAATCGAAATTGAATTGCAAGCTTGTGAATCGAAATCGAATCGAATTGTGAAATTTGTGTCAATACCCAGCCCTAATAGTTTATATTATACTGTGCACATGGATCTATTTTATGCCATTATAAATGAATCATTTCTGATGATATAGTTCAGAGAAGAATTATCTTGTCATCTTGTAATTATGGTACTTCAGTTACACTATGAATAAAAGAGTTTCTGAATATAAGAGTGGAAATACAATAAAAACAGGAACTTTGCTGCTCTCTTGGGAAGAAAACCCCGTACACGTTCACGACACAAAACTCCCACTTCAGCACTTTAACATATGACTGCCCACGTTCACAAATAAACGGACATTCAGTACCTTGACGGAGTTGTTGTTCCTCATTTCATGAATCATTCAGCGAGGTCATTCACGGTAACAGAGTCTTAAACTGTACAGTTCGGGTACAACTAATTTATGACTGTTTTGGTGCATGTGACACTCCATTATAGGGGTTATTTCACCCATGTTTCCAAACACAAATGAAGATATTTTGGTAACACTTTACAAAAGGTTTCATTAGTTAACTACAGTAGTTGACATGAACCGACAATGAACAACACTTATACAGCATTTAATAATCTTAATTTAATAATCTACTTTTTTTTAAATCAAAAGTTGTCTGTTAACATTAGTTAATGCACTGTGAAAAACACGACAATTTTTATTAACTGACATTAACAAAGGTAATAAATGCTGCAAAAATATATTGCTCATTATTAGGTCACGTTAACTAATGCACTTACTAACTGTAAGAACCTATTTAATATGCTTTCAGTTTGTATTATTATTATTCTCATCTTATTTCTGTTTTATGTACAGTGCCGTATTATTTAAGAAGTTACTTGAAGTTTCCTGAACTGCATTTACTCATAGTTGTCCTTGTATATTTGACTTGAAGTTAGCGTTATTATGTGTTCATACAAGTATACTGTTTTAATGTTAATAAATGAGACCGTATTGTAAAGTGTTACTGATATTTTTAATGACACCTGAGAGATTTCTGTCCCTCCATTGAAAGTCCATTCCACCAAAATGTTGACACTTCAAGCTGATAAAGTAATAATAAATAAAATATTGCGATAGTATCATCATCATTTTGTATTGAATCGTGACATGAGTGTATCGTCACACCCCTACTATCAGCAAATACTAATACTTGGTACCTTAAACACTAAAAAAACAGCTCGACTCGCTCTAAAACGAGCGTAAAAGAACATTTCCTTGAATTTTGAGAGCAAACATGAAGCCAAACCAGACCGTCCTCCAGAAAACAAACGCTCACTAGCCAGTGTGTGTGTGTGTGTGTGAAAGCTGCCAGAAAAGCTCTCAGAAATCAGTTGATGATTTCTGGCAGAAGAGACCGACGCTAATGAAGGACCATAATCAGACCATCTACAAATATGTAATAAAAGTCAGTGTACACACATACACAAACACGGGCCGAGGTCCCGAGAGGATGCAGTAGGAACAAATAATCTCTACCACAGCTATGATATGCCAAACTGTGCAGATGGTGTTATGGTGTCCTGAAAATGAACAAGTCAAAACAAAGTTCTGTCTGTATGAAACACCAAGAACTTACACAAATAAAGTAAATATTCTAGTTCAGAGAAGTATAAACAAAACCAACCAGCAGAATGCTTCAGAAGACTTGTAATATAGCACGCGAGTCATATGGAGCACTTTTTTCTCATTTCGTACCCAGAGTCACTTTCATGGAAAAGGGCAGTCAAGATCAGGGCTCTGAACCGGTTCAAGGGACGAAAAGTAAATCAAATTCAATCATTGAACAGAAACGCTTATTTGAAATGACCATTAAACAGGTTTTTCGTTTTTACACATTTTATCGTTCTGTTTAATATTTTAACCTTGTGAGTAACCACTCAAATGAATGAATTCAAATAGTACGGCCTATTGACCCCTTTTCAGTTGGTAAACATGGTGACGTTTTTTTGTGGGCGGAGCTTAGGTGGAGGCAGAACGATCCCTCTGGCCGCTTCACTAACGCTAGTTAGCAAGTTTTGTTAGCTTGTTCTTTAACAATGACTGGAGAAAATCTGATTTTATCTTAATGTGTAAGGTCGCTCACTGTCCAGGACCGCGATTGTTATTTTTAAAAGTTCATTTTAACGGACGGAACCAGATTGTCCGACCCGTAGCCTCCACGCTCACTCAATGCATGGACGATCTGACAGGATTAATGTTAAAGGCATAGTTCACTTTGAAATTAATTTTTGGTATGTTTTAGCTTACCTCAAGGGCATCCAAGATGTAGGTGTCTTTGTTTCCGCAGTAGTTTCAATTTTGATATTTTTAGGTCAAACCGTTCTTGTCTGTCAGTCATATAATGCAGGTCTATGGTCTCCACCTCAAAGAGCATGCACAGAGAAGTCCAAATTAAACATGATTTAATGACTCGTAAATGTAAGTACTCATTGATGGCCTAAGACACGGAACGAGCGGTTTGTGTGAGAAAACGAACAGTATTTATATCGTTTTTACCTCTTGTAACGCACAGACCGAAGCGCCGGCGCCCTCAGATCACTTGGACGTGGCTGTGTTTACAAGAGGTAAAAACGATATAAATACTGTTCGTTTTCTCATACAAACCGCTCGTTTCGTGTCTTAGGCCATCAATGTGTACTTACATTTACGAGTCATTAAATCATGTTTAATTGGGACTTCTCTGTGCATGCTCTTTGAGGTGGTGACCATAGACCTGCATTATATGACTGACAGACAAGAACGGTTTGACCTAAAAATATCAAAATTGAAACTACTGCCGAAACAAAGACACCTACATCTTGGATGCCCTTGAGGTAAGCTAAAACATATCAAAAATTAATTTCAAAGTGAACTATCCCTTTAACGAGTGGCCTGACTTCTACACCTACCTTATAGAGTAACCGAGCGGAAAGAGAAACTGAGGGCATGTAAATCTTTAGATGCCTATAACTATGTGCTGAATGGTCACGCACAAGACTTGTGGTAACGTTACATTGCACAGTTCTGCCAGCCAGTGCCAAGGCCAGAACATGACAATGTAAAGAGTGACATTACAGTGCAATTTTAATGATGTGAATATTTTCTAGAAATAAAAATATTTTTTTATGTATTAAAATTATATTAATTAACTATGTATTTGATTCTTCTTTCTTACCAGGTTCTTCAAAAAGTCTATCACAACAATGTATACAATCATAGATGATTCACAAATAATCACAATAATTCAGAAAACATTATGCGAAACAAATTCAAATTGGAGCCTGTAGGCGATTCTTGCGCCAAACAACACAACAAGATGACATTTAATAATAAATAATAATAATTTAAGCTCCTATTATGTAGCCAAATCTGTGCTGGTTTGTATTGGCCGCCTCCAGTTTTCACTTTGTTTTGCCTCCAGCTAGCGCCGTGTGACGTAACTGTGACGTCGGCGCAAAAGGGGTCTATATGCTAATGTGACGTTGACGCATCCAATGCAAGTGAAATGCCCACGCCCAGTTGTCAAGTCATCATAGGTAAGTCACTGCTACTTTAAAAACAGTAGCAGAGTCATTAATATTATGTCACTTGTCATACTGCACTGAGGTGTGGTCTTCTGCAACTAAAAAGGACTTGTCAAAAATTCAGGTTGCGCAAAATAAAGCAGCAAGACTTGTTCTGGGCTGCTCAATTAAAACAAGTAGAGAACAGATGTATTCTACTCTTTCATGGCTCACTTTAAACCAAAGAATAACAGTTACTTTAAGCACTATGATATATAACACTTTGACAATAAAAATGCCTATTTCTCTGTTTAATCAAATAGTG